TTGCAGGACTGGCCTAGGGTAATTTTTAGGGGGGTTTTAATTATATTTTAAAATTCGACAAATATTTAAATATTCCTTTTAATTAATTTTAAATTTGTATTGTTTTGTATGTATTTTAAATAGATTGTCAGCCGCCCTGAGTCCTACGGGAGAAGGGCGGGATATAAATCCAAAAAATAAATAAATAAAATAAATAAATTTCTTATTCTATTGTATTCTATTCTTATTTATTTATTTCTTATTTCCTATTCTATTCTATTCTATTCTATTCTATTCTATTCTATTCTAATATTCTATTCTATTCTAATATTCTATTCTATTCTATTCTATTCTATTCTATTCCATATTTTCTATTCTATTCTATTCTATTCTATTCTATTCTATTCTATTCTATTCTATTCCATATTTTCTATTCTATTCTATTCTATTCTATTCTATTCTATTCTATTCTATTCTATTCTATTCTATTCTAATATTCTATTCCATTCCATTCATATTTGAATATGGCTATCCTGTTCCCCCCCCCCCCCACTCCTCCTTTTCTCTTGTCTGGCCAAACCCAAATCTTCCCACCGTCCTTCGTATGTTTTTATCTCCGGTCAAAACTATTTATTTTTTTTAGAGCCTTTGTAACTTTGAATGGGCACTAATCGGATCGTCGTAAGTCGTAAATCTGTCCGTAGCCGCCCAACCTTCGTGTTATATCCCCTCTTACCGTCTCCACAGGCTGCACGGCTGCAATTCCCCAGCTGGCCAGCAATGCAGGAACTGCGGAAAGGGAGGGGGAAGAAAAAATAATAATCCGAATTTAGCCCAGAGGGATGATGGGAGAGAGGAGGCTGGACCAATAGGAGAAGGAGCAGACTGACCAGTTTTGGCAACCTTCGGTCACCGCTTCACCGGGAGCATAGAGCCTGCCCTCTACGGCGCACGGACACTCCTCGGCCGGAACGCAGAGATTGTCCTGGAAGGGGAGAAGAACAGCTAATACTCGACACAACGGAGACACACAATTCCCGACGCTAAGCGAATCACTGTAGGTGTTAAGTTAGTAAGCAGGTTGGGAAGTGACTCCGGCTTCATCCTTGACTTTGTGGGTCAGAAAGGAGATGCCGTGTCCCTCAGACACAGCGACCGTCATAAATACGAAGTATGAATTTGGATCCCGTGATTGTGGGCAGACTGCAAAAGGTCGTAACCGTGAAACAGGCTCATCATTCGCGTTTTCCAGGGCTGTTGTAACTTTGAACGGTCACTAAATGAACTGTTGTAAGGGACAACTTGCCGTGGCCAACTCATGTAGGCCAACTCATCATGGCCAACTCATCTCGGCCAACTCATCTCGACCAACTCATTATGGCCAACTCATCTAGGCCAATTCATCATGGCCTACTCATCATGGCCAACTCATCTTGGCCAACTCATCATGGCCAACTTATGGCCAACTCATCTAGGCCAACTCATCTTGGCCAACTCATCATGGCCAACTCATCTAGGCCAACTCATTATGGCCAACTCATCTAGGCCAACTCATCATGGCCAACTCATCTTGGCCAACTCATCATGGCCAACTCATCTAGGTCAACTCATCATGGCCAACTCATCTTGGCCAACTCATCTCAGCCAACTCGCTGTGGCCAACTCATCTCGGCCAACTCGCTATGGCCAACTCATCTTGGCCAACTCATCAAGGCCAACTTGTCGTAGCCAACTCATCATGGCCAACTCATCTTGGCCAACTCGCTGTGGCCAACTCATCTCGGCCAACTTATCTTGGCCAACTCGCCGTGGCCAACTCATCTCGGCCAACTCGTTGTGGCCAACTCATCTCGGCCAACTCGTTGTGGCCAACTCATCTCGGCCAACTTATCTCGGCCAACTCACCGTGGCCAACTCATCTCGGCCAACTCGCCGTGGCCAACTCATCAGGGCCAACTCGTTTGGCTGAGACGGGGAGTGGAAAGTCTTGGGGTATTTACCAGCAAGATGGTGCCATTGGGGCAGTAGCAGCCTGGCTGGCATGCCATCCGGCGTCCAACGTCATCTTCGGTGCTGAGCTCTGCGCAGGAAGCCGGCCCGTCGTTGCACTCTCGCCACACTTTCCCCGCCGGGCAGGTGCCTGGAACCTCACCTGGTTGGAAGAGATGAGAGATAAAACCACGGTTATCCTTTGAAGGAAACGTTTTAGAGGGAAGACTCCATCTAGGATGGTTTATCCTGGACAGACCAGAGACAGTGACTATAGTGGTTACGGTAGGAAATATTTCTACTGTATTGTATTGTATTATATTGGATTGGATTGGATTATTGTATTGTATTGTATTGTATTGTACTGTACTGTACTGTATTGTATTATTGTATTGTAGTGTATTATTGTATTGTATTGTATTCTATTGTATTGTATTGTTCTGTATTGGATTATTGTATTGGATTGTATAGTATTGGATTATATTGTATTGTATTAGATTGGATTATTGTATTGCATTGTATTGTATTGTACTGTATTGCATTGTTGTATTATATTGTATTGCATTGTTATATTGTATTGGATTGTTGTTTCATGTTGTATTGTATTGTATTGTATTCTTGTACTGTATTGTATTATTGTATTGTATTGTATTGTATTGGATTGTTGTATTATGTTATATTGGATTGTATTGTATTATTGTATTGTATTGTATTGTATTATTGGATTGTATTGTATTATTGTATTGGATTGTATTGTACTGTACTGTACTGTACTGTACTGCATTGCATTGCATTGTGTTATATTATATTGCATTATTGCATTGTATTGTATTGTGTTGTGTTGTGTTGTATTGTACTGTATTGGATTGGATTCTTGTACTGTATTGTATTGTGTTGTATTGTATTGTACAGTATTGGATTGGATTGGATTCTTGTACAGTATTGGATTGGATTCTTGTACTGTATTGTATTGTACTGTGTTGTATTGTATTGTATTGTGCTGTGTTGTGTTGTACTGTATTGCATTGCATTGCATTGCATTTTGTATTGTATCTTGTCCTGCCTTCCTAACAGTGAGGACAATGAACCAGTGGAACAGCTTGCCACCAGACTTTGCGGATGCTTCATCACTGGAGGTTTTGAAGAAGAGACTGGACAGCCGCTTCTTTGAAATGGCATAGGATCTCCCAGATGAGCAGGGGGTTGGACTGGATGACCTCCGAGTTCCCTTCCCGCTCTGTCCTTCTATGATTCTGTAAGGATCTGCTGCTCGAGCAGGGGGTTGGACTGGATGACCTCCGAGGTCCCTTCCCAGCTCTGTCCTCCTACGATTCTGTAAGGATCTCCCGCGCGAGCCGGGGGGGGTTGGGCTGGATGACCTCCGAGGTCCCTTCCCAGTTCTGTCCTTCTACAATTCTGTAAGGATCTCCCGCCCGAGCAGAGAGCTGGACTAGGTGACCTCCGAGGTCCCTTCCAGCTCTGTCCTTTTATGATTCTGTAAGGATCTCCTGCACGAGCCGGGGGTTGGGCTGGATGACCTCCGAGGTCCCTTCCAGCTCTGTCCTATGATTCTGTCAGGGTCTCCTGCTCCAGCCGGGGGTTGGGCTGGATGACCTCCGAGGTCCCTTCCCAGCTCTGTCCTTCTACGATTCTGCAAGGATCTCCCGTGCGAGCCGGGAGTTGGGCTGGATGACCTCCGAGGTCCCTTCCCAGCTCTGTCCTTCTACGATTCTGTAAGGATCTCCTGCTTGAGCTGGAGGCTGGACTGGATGACCTCCGGGGTCCCTTCCAGCTCTGTCCTTCTACGATTCTGTAAGGATCTCCCGCGCGAGCTGGGGGGGTTGGGCTGGATGACCTCCGGGGTCCCTTCCCAGCTCTGTCCTTCTACGATTTTGTAAGGATCTCCCGTGCGAGCCGGGGGCTGGACTGGGTGACCTCTGAGGTCCCTTTCAGCTCTGTTCTTCTATGATTCTGTAAGGATCTCCTGCTTGAGCCGGGGGTTGGACTGGATGACCTCCGGGGTCCCTTCCCAGCTCTGTCCTCCTACAATTCTGTAAGGATCTCCCGCGCGAGCCGGGGGGGTTGGGCTGGATGACCTCCGGGGTCCCTTCCCAGCTCTGTCCTTCTATGATTCTCTAAGGATCTGCTGCTCGAGCAGGGGGTTGGACTGGATGACCTCCAAGGCACCTTCCAACTCTGTGGTTCTGTAATTCTGTAAGTGTCTCCTAACTGAGCAGGGGGTTGGGCTAGATGACCTCCGAGGTCCCTTCCAACGCTGTCCTTCTACGATTCTGTAAGGATCTCCTGCTCGAGCCGGGGGCTGGACTGGATGACCTCTGAGGTCCCTTCCCACTCTGTCCTATGATTCTGTAAGGATCTCCTGCTTGAGCCGGGGGCTGGGCTGGATGACCTCCGAGGTCCCTTCCCAGCTCTGTCCTTCTACGATTCTGTAAGGATCTACCGCGCGAGCCGGGGGGGTTGGGCTGGATGACTTCCGAGGTCCCTTCCCACTCTGTCCTTCTACGATTCTGTAAGGATCTCCCGCGCGAGCCGGGGGCTGGACTAAGTGACCTCTGAGGTCCCTTCCAGCTCTGTCCTTCTACGATTCTGTAAGGATCTCCTGCTTGAGCCGGGGGCTGGGCTGGATGACCTCCGAGGTCCCTTCCCAGCTCTGTCCTTCTACGATTCTGTAAGGATCTCCCGTGCGAGCCGGGGGCTGGACTAGGTGACCTCTGAGGTCCCTTCCAGCTCTGTCCTACGATTCTGTAAGGATCTCCTGCTTGAGCCGGGGGCTGGACTAGGTGACCTCTGAGGTCCCTTCCCACTCTGCCCTTCTACGATTCTGTAAGGATCTCCCGCGCGAGCCTGGGGGGTTGGGCTGGATGACCTCCGAGGTCCCTTCCCAGCTCTGTCCTTCTACGATTCTGTAAGGATCTCCCGCGCGAGCCGGGGGCTGGACTAAGTGACCTCCGAGGTCCCTTCCAGCTCTGTCCTTCTACGATTCTGTAAGGATCTCCCGCTTGAGCCGGGGGCTGGGCTGGATGACCTCCGAGGTCCCTTCCCACTCTGTCCTTCTACGAATCTGTAAGGATCTCCCGCGCGAGCCGGGGGGGGTTGGGCTGGATGACCTCCGAGGTCCCTTCCCGCTCTATTTGGGACGGATCCAGGGATGGACGGCCGCAAGCTCACCTGTGCAGGGCTGAAGGTTGCAGGTGGCAAAGTCGATCCTGGCCAGGATGGTGGTGACGGCTCTGGTCCGGTTGCGGTAGCCGCCTCCGCACGGCACCGAGCACTCCGACCACGGGCCCCACTCCATGCCGGACCCTGTGTGTGTGGGGTGTGGGTGTGTGGAGTCACAACGTTGGTGGTGGGGGAGAGGGAGGGCGTCTGCAAAAGCAGTACTTCCTTGAACCCCCCACCCCCAGTGAAGCCCGTCCGTCTCGCT